CTTGGAGATTATACCTCGTAAAGCTTCCTTTTGATGGAGTTATTTCTAAATTTGGTAACCATATTGTTTCCAGATGCAAGTGTTGTAAAAATCCTAAGGGAGACTCATTGGAACATGTCTTCATAGAAGGAGAAGTTGCTCAGCGTTTATGGAAAACTTTTGGAGCCCCCTTGGGCATCAAACATGAAAACTGAAGCATCAGGACGATTTTTAAAATCTGGTGGGATGCAAAATCAAAGAACTACATTCACAAGTTCAAACTTTGCGCTATCCCTCTGGTTATATGTTGGGAAATATGGAGAAGTTGGAGCTCATGTAGGTATAGTGAGCCAAAAAAAATTTCAAGCAAGGGGTATGGAAATGCACATCAATTGGAAGGATCAAAGTGAATATCGATGGAAGCTATTTCAAGGAGACAGGAAAAGCGGGTATAGGAGGAATAGTCAGAGATCAACAAGGAGAACTAATCATGGAATTTCCGGTAATAATTTACCAGGCCCAAAAATGATCTTAGTTCCTTTATCCCCTTGGTTCTTGCCAATCAACTGTTGCTTGCACCTTCTTTAGGTCCATCTGCACTTGGTTTTCACTAACCAAATGGCCTAGAAACTTTATTTCGCAGCTTGCAAATTCACATTTCTCCATCTTGACATAGATTTGATAGGCTCTAAGTCTTTCCAGCACTTCCTTAAGTGAGACAAATGTTCGTCAAGGGTCCGGCTATAGATGACTATGTCTTCTAAGTAAACAACTACAAAGTCATCAAGATACTCATAAAGAACATTGTTCATCAAATTATAGAAAGTTTCTGGGGCGTTGGCCTAGCCCAAACGACATTACAAGAAATTCAAAGATACCATATATAGTTACACAAGTGGTTTTAGGGGCATCCCCTCGGCTATCCTAACCTGTCAATAGCCTCACCTTAGGTCTAACTTAGTAAGAAAACTACCCTTCGAGAGCTTGTCTAGAAGATCTTTAATCAAAGGGGCCCAGTACTTGTTTTTGGCAGTCACTTTATTCAGCGCCCTATAGTCCACACACATCCGCAGCGTAGCATCTTGCTTTTTTCGGAACAAAACAGGAACACCGTATGGAGGCTTTAATGGTTGAATTAACCCGGCGTCAAGAAACTCAGACAATTGCTTCCTTAATTCAGTAAGTTCCATAGGCAACATGCAGTAACGAGGCCACGCAGGCGGCAATGATCCAGGAATAAGTTCAATCCTGTGATTAATCTTCCTCATCGGTGGTAACTCCCTTTGCAATTCTGGAGGCATCACATCTTTGAATTCCTTCAGCAAATCTGCAAAACAATATGGGACATGAATCTGCTTATCCAGCTTGACTTCAATAAGTGCAGCGAGGTATGTTTCCTTACCCCTCTTCAAGCCTTTCTAAAATGCAATAACAGTAATCAAAGCGGCAACCCCAACATTCTTTCTTTCATCCATGTAGGGTCGAATGCCTTTCATAAAGACGAAGTTTGTCTCCCCTATGAACTTAAGTCCATTCAAATGAGGAATTGGAGCGACTTTGTTTTTCTTTAGTAAATCAATTCCCAACAGCACATTGAAGTCATCCAATGGCACAACAGTCATGTTGAACTTTCCAGACCAATGGCCTAATATTATCGGGACATCTAGCGCCACCCCATAACCAGGTTGCGCCTTTGAGTTCATAGTCTTCATCTTGGTCAGACACTTTTTTACCTGCAGCCCATACTCTTGAACAATTCTGGAGGCAACAAAGGTGTGTGTGGCTCTGGTATCAACCACTGTCATGACACTCATGTTTCCAATTTTTAGATCCACATACATTAGTATGGAATAAGCATTAGCCAAATCATCTCCCGTAGTATTCACGTATGCAACTTCTTCCTTGGTAGCATTTTTTTCATCATCCGCCATAGTTATACAAGCCAAAGTGTTCAACAGCCGTAACGGATTCACATAAGCAAAAACTTCCTATCCCTTTCTTTATTTTATCCTCTTCAGCAAGAAGAGAATTTATCTTTCCTGGATTTGGACAGTTTCGTGTGTGATGTCCAGGTTTTTGACACGTCCAGCAAACCTTTTCACCACCCATTGGCTTGTTTGTTTTTGACGAAGAAGAGTCCATCTTCCCTTTGCCTTTGTTATTTCCATCTTGGTTTCGATTGTCCTTTTTCCAGTCCTTACTATTCTCTTTTTTCTTTGACTTATAAGAAGAGAGAGGATCAGAAGTTAGACAAGTTGAGCGAAAATCCACCAATGCGTCCGGTGCCGCAATTGCACTAGGCAGATATTTAACTTTTTTGCCTACAAATTTTATTTTGTGCCCACCCTTGCATTTTGAAAATGAAATTATGCAGTTTATCCCATCCAACGTGTTTTGGATGTCCAACAACAAGGATGAAAAATCTTTCACATAGTCCTGAATAGAACCAGTTTGTCTCAACTGCTTCAAGCGATCCCTAGCTACCCAAGACGAGTTGCTAGGCAAGAACTTATCCCTTAGCGTGTGACGAAGTTTATCCCAAGTATCAACCTTGGGTTTGCCAGGACTTTCATCGTCTGCATTTTTCATATGCCACCATAGTACTGCATTTCCTCTGAAATAACACACCGCCATGGTAAGTTTGTCCTTCTTCGGGATGTGAGCAATAGAGAAGTAATGCTTCAAGTCCCATAAGAAGTTTTCCAGTTCCTTGGAACCTCTCACGCTATCAAATGTCTTTGGCTCTGGAATCTTAATTGGTGCGTTCTTCACCTCCTTGGGCCGCATTTTCAACAACCCATCGAAGGATCTGAATTTCTGTTTTAAGCTCCTCATTTTCCTTCTGTAACTTTTCCAACTGCTCCGCAATAGTTTCGTGGAAAGCCTGCAATTCCACCAGTTGGGTATCAATACTCTCATGAACGTGTTGAAGTTCTATGTTAACGCCATGGATCTATGTCAGAATATCCCCTAGATCCACTACATCATCAATTATTACTACCAGCGGTTCCAACTTCTGAAGTCTTTCTCGAAGTTTTGCATTTCCAGCCATGATAATTCCAAGATCTTGCCGACATTGCTTTGATACCACTTGTTACAAGGTCAATTTTTTTTGTTTTGACACTGCACGATAGTCACACAACAACGACTCAGCCCTCTTCCTTTTTCCCTCACGTTTTGGTTTGACACTTAAATATAACAGCATGCAAAAATCAGACAAGGCACACAGTTACAGAAATTTCTTCCCAACTTTGTATTAAACTCATGCTACATAGAACACATACAAAAAACCTTACAAAAAGATAGCCAAAGACAGCCAACTCTCTGCCTTGACAAGTCTGCCAAGCCTATACATATATAGGCAAACGTTTTTGGCCCAACAGCCTTATCCTAACCTAGCAGTTAACATCCCCAACTATAAAGGATTTCAAAGTTCGAATTTCAAACAAACAACTGCCAAAGCCCCACATAGCCACTCTTACTGAAAAACTGGAAACTGCCCTACTGCCTTGCATGTGCTTGGCACATGGGCGCAACCTTTGAATTTTGGCGCCAATCACGCTAACTCTTGTCATGTATTCGCTCCATGCCATTGTGCAGCATGCCTTGCGCGCATGTCTGCCATTCTGCATGCCCAGCTCGCCCATGACACTGCCTTATCCGCACCCATTTGCCTTGCCACGTCCTGTCTTAGCTTGCCTTAGTTTTTCCAGCCCTTGCTATGCTTTTGCTGCCCGTCGTCTTTGCCTTGCCATGTCCATGCCAATGCCATGGTCTTGTAATGCCTTTGTACCTAAGCTACATGTCGTCGTGCCATAGTTCATGCCTATCTACACCAGCCCATGTCGGACATCCTTGTCAACATGATGCCATAACTATCATAGGGTCGTCCTGAGGTCCATCATGTAAATCCCTCGTCACGCCCATGCCATGTTTGATCAATCAAGTCGAGGGGCTAAAAATAGTGGTCTCTCCAAATCCCCCCAACACCTCAGGAGGTGAAAGCCTGGGGTGTTTCTTAAATTAAAAAAGAAACAAGAGAAGAATATATATGTTGTTTTTCCAAGAAAACACCCAACCTTATTTTCAAGTGTTTCCTTTATACAATATGTTTTAAGGAACTTTATGAGGCTTATCAGTCTATAACTTGTTCTACATCCTCCTATCTTAGCTTCTTATTATGATTTTAGCTTTCTGGGAGAAAAAGCTGGAGGCATTGCTCTTCAGCAGAACTTAAGAACTAGAATAGTTGCCACCTCTGTTCCTATTTGCTTGACATTGTTTGATTCGACACAAGGTTTAAGAACGAAGACACATGGTAGCTATGGATAACATATCAAAAGTACAGTTGTACCAAATAATTTTTGTTTGTATTCATTGAGGCCTACCACGATCACGTCAATGGTAAAATGGGGGGGGGATATACTGGACATAACCACTCCCTTGGTTGGGGGTTATGAAAACCTGCCTTTTGATCGATACAAAGTTGAGGAGACCNGGGGGGGGGGGGGATATACTGGACATAACCACTCCCTTGGTTGGGGGTTATGCCAACCTGCCTTTAGATCGATACAAAGTTGAGGAGACAGATCATGAACGCTATAGGTTTGAGAGCGATACTGGTCAGGGAAGGCTAAGTCGTGTGCCTCGCATATGGGTAGCAAGAGGGCGCTTATGCCCTGACGATAGGGCCTTATTGGGAAGGGCCTAGACCAATAGGGACAACACGCCACCCACTTCAAGTGCACCTGTATCGACTGAATCACTCTTTTGGTTTGGTCGATGGAACTGGTGTGCCATGCGTGATATCGATGTTAACTAGTTACTAAATATAAAAATGTGGTTAATGATACAAAAAAATAAATAGGAAGTTGCCAATCTTTTTAGTAATGACAAAAAAGGAGGAAATACTGCCTAACTATTTGGCGCGGAGAGGTTATCTCAGTAGTGTTTTTCTTTAAGTTAATAAAAAGTACTAATAATTTACAAAGACCGATGATACCCCACATTCCCGGGTAGTTATGAATTTAACTGTTCACTGCATTTTGGACAGGAAAATGATCATCTATCCTGATGGAGATGGAAGTGAAGATGGATGTGATCATATTTTTGTATATTTGGCCATTGCCGAGACAAGCTCTTTACAGGCTGGTTGGGAGGTGAATGCCACATTTAGCTTCTTGATATTTGATCAAATTCATGATAAGTATCTTGTAATGAGAGGTATACTGTTTCTTTCTCTGGAACTTTTCTTAGTCAAATTTAAATAGGAAATTCTCAATGTGTCTTAAAAGTACTTCATATGACAATACTTTGTTACAGGTATGGAGCAGCGATTTCACAATATCAAGAGTGAATGGGGTTTCCCGAACTATATATCTCATGAAACATTCAGAAAGCCCTCTAAGGGTTACCTTGTTAATGATAAATGCGTCTTTGGAGTGGATATATATGTCATCAAGAACCGCGGAGTAGGTGAGTGTGTATCCTTGTTGGATGAGAGCGAATCTTATAAGCATGAATGGAAGATTTCAGAATTCACAAAATTGAAGAGTGTGTTGTGTTCTGAAGAGTTTACAGTTGGGGCTTACAAATGGTATATTGTTGATGCTCTTTTTATCCGTCATATATATATATTCGTCCTTCTTTCGCACATGATTCTGTTTGTAGTGTAAATACAATTTGATGTGTTTCGGATGCAGGAAACTTAAGCTATATCCTACAGGTGATAGTAGTCAAAATGGCCGGAGCATCTCCATCTTTCTTGAATCAGTTGATGCTAAAGGATTTGATTTCCGCAAAAGAGTCCAGGCAAAATATAGTATTTCTGTCAACAATCAGATTACTGGTGCACATCACAAGATAACTTGTACGTTCTCTTGCTGCACGCCGCACGTGTTTAAATTGGTGTTTTATGCTGATTATTAGCTGCATACTGCTAAAGGATTTAGTTTCCTTTGAATTATTTGACAGTTTTTCCTCGTGCAGCTACTTCAAGTTGGTTTGCAGCTGCTAGTTGCACTTGGGGATGGAGGCGATTTATGCGGCTAAGTGAATTGAAGGATCCAAATAAAGGCTTCCTTGTTGGAGACTGCTGCATTATGGAAGCAGATGTTTCTGTACTTGGTGTTGTCAATGATTTGACCTAATCCTTGATTTATGATAAAATAAAAATTAGAAATTTACAATTCTCCCAAAAATAATCCTTGTGAAACATCTTTTGGCGGATACTTGCACACAGCTATATTCCTTGCTGTCATTTTATTATTTTTGATGATTTCTACCTTTGCTTTTTGACATGCCCAGTTGATGTAACTTTTTAAGCTGCATCAATGGTCAAATGTTGTACTACTATAAGAAGGGTTGTCTAAGCATCTGATATGTATGTGGTTCGACTATTCAAAAAATATGAGCATTTAAGTCTATGCCTTAAGATGATGGTTGGAGCAGTTCTGAATCATATAAACCCCTTTGGAAACTCTTATTTGATTAATGAAGGATATATATATGATATGTTCTCTAGCACCTATGTCCCATTTCATTGACTTTGATTCCATGAGACTAGCTTATAGGTCTCTTATCCTCACTAGTCTTACCTGTTGATCTCCCTCAAAGTATTTCCTCGATTTTTTCAGTATTTTAGACAAATCGATGTTGCATAATCTTTGACAGTATTATTATCATCAGTAACATTGTTCAAGTATTCATATGATCATATCATATGCTGATCCATTTTCGCGGTGATTCCCAAGTTTTAACTTACAAACTGAAGCTTAAAAATTCAAGATATTTTGTTTCTTGATATCACCAACTTGAGATTAATGGAGAAGCATTAGAAGGACATGAATACATTCGTATAATTTTATTAGATCTTGCTAATACATGTATAGTTGTTACGTGTTAGCTAGAGGCTTTCAAAAAATTTGTATTTTTGAAACTATGTCAGTATTTGTTTACTGTAGCTTGAATACCTTATATTATGAGCCCCTACTTACTCTTTGATGGGATCTACAAGTAAAAGCCCCATTTTTGACGCCCAACGCTCCTCAAGATCAATCCCTATTATTACAAAGAGTCATATTCAACACCACTTGAATGTTTGATGTCACCCAGTTAGTTATGGCATCTCTCATTCTCCACATTATTTACATTGTTTGTCTGACTGGTTTTGATAGTTGTTTTTTCTGCTCTTCCTTGTACTTTTTAACATGCGCCCAACTAGAATTAATTACTTTAATTTTTTTAAAATCAATTACGCACTATGGTGGCGTGGCCCTATCATTCAACCAACTGTAACGACCCGACTGGTCGTTTTGGGAATCTACACTTCGCTCGGTATCTGGAGGGCTCGAGTATCTCCGCAGGATGTATTATGACTTGCGTAAATCATCGGTGTTGGTTTTCAAGTTATCCGGGATCAATTTGGAAGAATGAACTTCAAGATTTGAGTTCTAAGTCGGAAGAGTTGACTGAGTTTGACTTTTTATCATTTGACCTCGGAATGGAGTTTCGTCAGTTCCGTTAGCTCCATTGGGCGATTTTGGACTTAGGAGTGCATCCGGATTGTAATTTGGAGGTTCGTAGTTGAATTAGTCTTGAAATTGCGAAAGTTGGATTTTTGAGAAGTTTAATTGGGAGTGGACTTTTTGAAATTGCGAAAGTTCCATTCCTTTGCTAAGTTCCTGTAAAACGAGTTTACTTCTAGGAACATGGTTCATCAAATA